GACAGAGAGAGAGAGAGAGACCCTCTGATTTGACTGGTGTCAAATGCAAATCTTCCGACCAGTCAGGCAAACAATCATGTTACAGAGTGCTGGTTCACGTTAAATCAGTCGCTGCCGAATTTTCGTACCAGAGTGGGTGAGAGAGTATCGAGAGACAGAGAGTATCGAAAGAGAGAGAAATGCAAACTACAAAATGCAAAGCTGGTCAGGTCGAGTTGACCAGTGTGCTGATCAACCTGACCTGATTGTTATGATTCCTGTTATTACGTAGCGTGATGTGCGATTCTTTCAGTATGAAACCAACAGGATGTGAACTGCGTAGTGTTTACAGGGAAATATTACAGTATACCAGGACTGATAGTTACAACTTAAATTACATTTTTGTGATTACAGAGAGAGAAAAGTACTACAAAAGGTATCGTTGGTATCAGTTCAAGTGTCCCGGTATCCACCTCTATTGTCCTTTCAGTCTGCCTCTGTCAAAGTGAACAAACCTGTTATACACACTCTCTTATTGAATCTTATATTTCTGACATCGGACTCTTTATTTTGCTGTTTTGATCGTCAACTGTCTAAATGAATCACATCGCTGGGGTGAAACCGACCCACCGTCTCTAGTTTGGTAGTTTGAGCTCGAAACATCTTTTTACTGTCCTTCGCTCTTCAGGGAAGTAAAGAAAATAAACTGAGGATGTTTTTATCGTTTAATGTGCAAAAACAAACGCTTGTTTCATCCAAAAAGGGGCTTTTAACAGGCCTCTGTTCTCCTGTCTGTAACTTGTACTCAGGGTTGAGCTGCTCTTGTGTTTGCTGAGGAATTATCCGAGCAGCCTTAATGAGATAGTAACTGCACATGGTTTGAAAATGAAGACTAACTATAGTTATTATGTGATATTTGTTCACTGTAGAGCACAATTACCTCTTGTGTCAGCGCAGCTACTCCCTGGAGTCCACATAGGAGTATTTACAACACAGTGACAAGTCACAGTGACGGCAGTTAGAAAGTCAGCGATGTGAAGTGAACGTACTGAGCTGTAGAGGAGTGCTGGCCTCCACTCACACTGCCCTCACATCCTCTTCTAGATCCGGAGGAAGAGGGAACAATGAATCAGACCTCGACCACCTTCCATGGAAATGTTTTTGCTCATTCTCAGTTATAAATTGTAGGACTGCCCAGTTCAAAGAAAGGAAGCTTATTACTCAGAAACATGAGTGCAGCTTCACCTTTTATTCACATTTTTTCCATTTATAGTGTCAAATTCAAACTGTTTCCTTAAATAACTTCCTTTGGTGTCATTATTCTCTGTTGAGTCTCCATTTTCAGCCACAGCAGTGTACCGTAGTGTACTGCTCCGACAACAGAGCGTGCAGATCAGTGACGCCGTGGAGCTGAACACACTGCCGACGTATCTTTACATAGTGACTGAATGATGGATCAGACTTTGAATAAAAAGTTTCTGCCATAACCTGAACTGTCCTTAAATGTTTGTGTTGTTTCTCATCCAGAAAAGTGAAGAAATGAAGAGAAAAGGAAATGAGAACTTTAACAGGCAGCAGTACGAAGACGCTGTGAGGTTTTATTCCAAAGCCATCAAAATTTAGTGAGTCAGATTTTAATTTTATCTTTTTAAAAGTGTCTTTTTCTTAAATATCAAACAATCTGTATTATTCTGATTATGTTATGTAAGGAGGCACATGTTCTAATTAAGATCTCAGATTTATTGGCAGCTTCTATTTGATTAATTCATGAAGGCGAACATTAGAAATACCTCTTAAAATAATGCAAAACCACCTCAAATTGATAAACGTATTTACTGCAGGATACTGTATTAGATTGTGTAGGTGTGAGTCATATTTTGGTTTACTATCTGTTTACTTTTGTAACTGAAATTCATTTCTCCTCCATTCAGCCCCGACAATCACAAATTTTATGGCAACAGAGCCCTATGTTATGTCCGCTGTAGGAAATATCTGTAAGTACCACGTTTTCTTCTCAGTATCAGTATAAAAGAAGCAACATCACACTGTGAAACTCTGGATTTAATGCTGATATTCATCAAAATTACAAAGCTCAAGAAATGTTTTAACCCAAACAGAAAAGCTGTCGGTGATGGAAAACGAGCTACTCTGATAGAACCGCTCTGGGCGAAGGTACTCCTCTCTTTTATAATGCAGCGCAGAAGACGTGACAGAGGAAATTAACTGCATGCAAACGATGTTCGGAGTTTAACGTTGAAGCATGGTTTCGTTTGTAGGGTCACTACCGCTACTGTGAGGCTTTGTTCTTGTTGGGGGAGGTCCGGATGGCGATGGAAGCCAACCGTTCAGCCCAGAGTCTCTGTAAAGGAGACCAAGAGGGAATCAGAGACCTGGAACAACAGCACCTGAAATTCATGTCTCAAATGGTCGACCCCAAAGGTATTTCCACTGTGCATCTTAAATCATATTTATTTATCCATCAGCGAGCATTTAGATAAAGATCAAAAAGGAGGAACAACAAACTCTGTCTCTTGTTTTTATTATTTTTAAGGTTTCACAATGAAAATTGCAATTCCTTCACACACAGAACATAACAGAATTATAATATATAAAACAATATATATAGTTATTTATATACATGTATAAATCCAGGAAATAATTTTGCTGTGCGTCTTTTGTGCCTTTTTAAAATAAAGGTTTTTGGTTTCTTCATATAATTACGTGCGACGCAGCGAATAAACAAAGTTTATCAGTTTCTGTCTGTAGTTTATTTTTAATAAGAGACGTTTATAAAGTTAATGTTAGTCTCTTTGGTTACTTTACTGAGCCATAAAGTGTGTAGATAAGCTCAGGTTGCAGTATAATAGTTGCTGTGTGTGTTTGCTGTGTTAGTTAGATCTAAAGATGATTAAAATAGCAGAAAATTGGATGTTTCACGAATACTAATACTGATTAATTAAGATAAAGAAGAAAAACAAAGTAATGACCCATCTGGGTGAAGTTATCTCTCCATATTTAACCTAAACTCGTGTTTCTGTGCTTCGCTTTCAGTCGGACTGCCTAAGAAAACTCAAAGTAAAAGGTATGTGTGTGCTTCCTTTACATCCACTGAACAAACATGATTAATAAATGCTAATAAACATCTGAAACATCTGTTTGTGTTCATGTGATTGTTCTTCAGATTGGAAAGCGCTAACAGAGCTCATGCTCCGGAGTCACGCTCTCAGTCTGTTAAAGGTGTTCATAGGATTGATCCGCCGGCAAACGCAGGTCCTCAACATAAGGTTAGTTGTTTTTATTTGATTTAATATTCATATTATAGCACCAATAATCAACCAGAGGGATCAATATTAGTCTCTGACAGCTTTTTGGATTACATTATATATAATATAATAAAATAATATGCATAATTTTGTTATTTTAGGTGAAAGAAGAATTAGTTTTGTTTAGATCTGAAATGTTTATTTAATTAATCGATTAATTAAAATTAATCTACAGCTATTTTGATAATTGCTCCATTTTTGGGGGGGATATTTTTCAAGCAAAAACAATTTCCGACTCTCAATTTTGAGGATTTACTGCTTTTCTTTGTCTTATATGTAACAGTAAACGTTATATATTATTGGGTTGTCGCAAAAATGGCTAATTTTTACATAACTGGGCGTCTACCAAGAGTACTACCAGCTGTGTGTCTATCTATATATCTATATCTATCTCTATCTATCTATCTATCTATAATGAATGCAAAAGCTTAAATTAAAAATAAACACATACAAAAGAACATTTGATTGAAAATTAAACATAAAGTTTGTGTTTTTTTGTTTTTTTTTAAATTATCTCAAGAACTAAATTATAAAAATAGTTAATTTGCCATTTTGTATTTTTTATTTATCTTCCATGTAAATTTAAAGTTTAATGATTAACGAAAGCTAAAAATTATGTTCATAATCAGTGTGAGCAGCCAGCTGTTGATGTGTGAAAGGCAGCTGCTTTATTTGTGCACTGTGTTTGTGTGGATGTGGTTTTATCTGAAGTTGGATGTACGTCGGTGTTAATCATTAACTTTTGTGTCGACAGCTGTTGCAGAATAAACTGGACAAGAAACCAGGTGAGTTTGTTTAAACATCCACTGACACAAACAGGTTTTTATCCTCGTGTTTCCTGTTACAGCAGCACAGAGACACTGTAACCCAAGACTACATTAAAATGAGTTAAGCTGAATATCATTAAAGAAGTATTTCCTTCAGTGGTTTTCTTTTTATATTTATGGAGCTGAAACAATTCAGTGATTCGTTGATCGTCAGAAATGCCAAACATTTATTGGTTCCTGTTCTCAGTTTTATATCAAAGTAAAGAGATTCTTTGGGTTGTGGACTGTTGGTCTGATAAAACAAAACATTTTTGGGGATTTTTAGCATTTTCAGGCTTTTTTTTTTTTTTTAGAGGAAACAATTAAGAGAATAATACTTTATTCTAAAGTATTTGAATTCTTTTCTGGGAGGGAGGGAGCTAATTTAGGGTTTAGTTACACTTTAATGGCTTTTATGTTCATGACTGATGGTTTTATATGCTGATAAGATTATTCTAATAAATCCATATCCACCTGTGTATCTCTTTTATAGGTTTGTTAAACTGTGGCACAAGCTCTGTATGTATGGATCAAAGGGTTCCTCCCCTGATTAACTGGAGTGAATCCAGATGTTCTTCTGGATTCACTCTGTTTTCCACTCTGTAGAGAATGTGGTCGACCCTGGTCACGTGGAGTTTTTGGTATATAAGCTCGGGTCTGCCTCTGTCTCAGTGCAGACTCTGGTTGTTGTTGGTTCTTCTCTGAGTCTGATCACACGTGGGAATAAATCGGCCTCGACTAAACACCGACTGATTTCAACTCCATCGGATTCAAGAAAACAGAATCTTCTCTTCAATGACATTTAAAGACTTTGTGACTCATTTTCTTTCTCCAGGGAAAAATGAAAGGACTGCACAGATGGAGAGCAGCACGAAAGACTCTAAACCATCAAAAAGGTTTGTGGAAGCACTAATATCAATGTTTCATATGGATTATTATGTGATGGCCACCAGGAACCTCATATATAAATGCAGTTATACATAAAAGGTACACAGAGGTGGAGCTATTCTATACTTAGAAATAAATATATGTAAGAATATGATGAATTAAATACTCAAAACTCAGATGTAACACTGCAACAGAATATGATTTGACTGTATTTCAGACTGTATGTCTCATTAAATATTCTGTGCTTCCAGTGAGTTTTCTTCAAAGAATGGGAAAGGAGAGTCCGGCTCTGCAGCGAAGAAGAAACCCAGGAACAAAAATAGTCTGTCTGATGATGATGAGGTAAAGCTCTGCTCACATGTGGTAATAATCTCCTGTGTTGAGGTATATTTGTGCTCTTTTCATAGAATACATGAGGGATCAGATGTTAGGTTGCTTTTTCTGATGTCTTATCTCCTCTGTCAGAAACTGCAAATTATCCATGTTGGGAGCTCCTCTTCTGCCATTTGACTAACGTGCTTCGAGACTTGTAAAGTTCCTTCAGTACAATGTAAAACTGTGGCACGTTTATGAAGAGAGAACCTCTGGAGTCAAACCGAGATCCTGTGACATCAAGTAGGACCGCCATAACACCACCTCTGCTTTTAAACTAATGGTTCTCTGATATTTGCTCTAAATAGATTGATGACACATTTGTTAAGCTCTTAAAAGGGTCCCCACATATCCTGGAAAACCTGGAAATTTAGGGACTAGTTTACCAGTCGTGGAAACACCTGGAAAATTCATTAAAATGACCAAATATCCTGGAAATAATCCGTCGTACGGGAAACATTTGTATTTAGCCGCTCACTTGGGTACGTGTTTTGTTTGAAACTCGCTGTGGTTGATAAATAAACAGTGATAAGTGTACGTGCAATGAACAGTTTAACGTTCTAAAAGATTAATTATAATAATAATTTGCCTGAAACTGCAGCTTATATGATCGTTTGCTGTCCCGGATTGTCTAGAAAAACCTCCTGGAAAGTGTTTGTTGTGTGTTTTCTCCTCCTGAATAACACTGATACATTTAACAATGATGCCATTTCCTGTGATACGTTCTGTGTGTGAGAAACTCGCTTTGCTGCCGACCGAAGATGAGATAACATTCAGCTGTGATACTCCTTTTCTCTCCCTTCCCGAGCTCAAGGCTGAGATTAATCTCAATGTGAATTCCCAAGGTTACAAAAAGTGAGACCTCCAACTTATGTTTGAGTCTGTGTCCTCTCAGCTGAGATAGACTCACTCTGTTAACTCTTCATTGTTCTGCTTTATTAAATAGAGTTATTTCTTTAGAGGTCACCTGAGGCCTCTTTTATTCTCCGACAGCTGATTGAAGTGTTTTGTCAGTTTGTTCTCACGGACGTGTTCAAACTCAGTCAGTAACTAGGGTTTGGCATTTTGAAGACCGGTGTTTTCCAGGTGAACAAAGTGCATTAAATGAGGCCATTTGTGCTTATACGTGTGTTTAAATGTGAATTTATAATTTATTTTTGAGTAAAAACAATGTTGTTGATGGCGATTTTGTACTTGATGATTCTCCTGCTTGATTTTATTTGTCACTGTCACGTGAAACACTTTATAATAGTAGTTTTTAAAAGGTTATATATATATATATATATAAGTAAATTTTATTGTGCTGAGAGTTTAGCAGAACTGTAACAACTCGTATTTAACAGCATCTTCACTTTATAGTATATTTAAACAGTGTATTTGAATGAAGTGTCTGACCTGCTGTGATCGTGTGTTCAGACCCAGAAGGTGGACGGCAGTAAAGCAGCTGTGTGTAGAAAGTTGAGATCTATGGTGCAGGACGCTCATACGGCTCTAACTGACCTCCGCAGCCGCAACGCAGAGCAGGCCTTCAGCCAGGCACTGGCCTTACTGGAAACCAGCACATCCAAGGTAACCATATAACTCATAGGTGATTCTATAGAGAATTATATAATGTGTGAATGTTGGATTGATTGGTTTTTGATTGTTGTAACGTCTGTTTTTCAAAATAAAAGCATTGTAGATGTAACATACAGTACATTTTAGTTTGTAAATTGAGCTTTAAGAGCAACATTAATCGTTTGGTTTATTCCCTCTCTCTCTCTCTCCCATGTTTCCTGTCAGTCTCCATTATCAGCTATAAAATACAGTAGGGCTTCAGGATGTGGTTAAAGGACATTTATTAACGTCTGCTAAAGTCTAAAGCTTCATTATAATGCTGTTTGTCACATTTAACCTTTTTTATCAAGAAATTGCAGCTTCTGTGATTTGAATATTGCACTCGACCGTATTTGATAATATTCATTTTAATATTAATTGTTGTTACTGAGGCGGTTTAAGAAACATATTAAAGCTTTAAATGGATTATTATTATTATTATTATTATTATTATTTATTATTTCAGTGAGCTTAATGATTCATTTTCCTTTTTCTTTCTCAGGAACTTGGACTCTCCACGCTGGACGTGCTGTTGTTGCTTTATGGACGAGCATCGGCCCTCACAGATATCGGCCAGCCTGAGGTAACTCATAAATAGACTTGTTGGCCAGAACCGAGGGGTCCAATCCGACCCACTCACTGAAGAAATGATTAGAGAAATTATTAATTCAGATCTTTCAGCTCAACTTTTCTTGGTTTGTCCACTGGACCAAGAAAGAAGTAAAACACAATATTTCTGTATTTTATCCTCAATAATCTGATTGTAAATAGACTAAATGTAGACAAACTGAGACATATTTAGTTAAAATTTCATTTATTTCTGTTTATCTTCTGTTCTGGATGAACTAAAATAAGTTGGACGTCACTGTTTTAACCCTTTTTAATCAATAGCTGTACAACCAGAAACATTTGTTAGCGTCTGATCACAACTATTATTTATAATGATGATGTTTTTTACTAACTTAAACTTGAGTCCAACTGTTGATTATCAAACTTATTTCAAAATTTCTAATTTCATAAGCCAAACATAATATTTCCTGAAGGTATGAAAGCCGCTGCAGTCAGTAGGTAGAGCAGGTCATTAATCAGAAGGTTGGTGGTTCGATCCCCAGCTCCTCTCTGTTACTTCTAGTCGAGGTGTATTATATGGATCATTTAAAGCATTTAAATTGTATAAGATTTAAGAATTGTAAGTTAAGTTTTTACATGTGGTTGTTAAACAGGAACTTGGAGAAGCACAAAAACTTCTGGAGAAGATAAAATCATTTGAGGAGAGGACGTTTCAGTGTCTGGTTTATTACGCCATCGGGAGGGTGTATGTCCGAGAGAACAGGTACGGTAGCGTCTGCTCGTAGCAGCTTCCTCTCATCGACTCAAACCTTTCTGCTGTTTCGGACTGTACGACTGTGTGCGTCTCTTCTTCCGACAGGTTTGCAGTTGCTCTGGAGCAGTTTTCAGATTCTCTGCAGATGGTGAAGAATCAAATAACGCCGGGTAAACTCACCTGGCCTTTCACAAAAGAGATTGTCAAAGAAACACAGCCAGACTATTTCAAGGTATGTCCTCGCTGCAGGGTTGGGTTACATACGTATATTACAGGGTTATTTTGTAGCATGTTGGGGTTTGAACATCTCAGAGGAGTTTTGGGGAAGCGAGTAGAGGGCAGAGCCGGAGCTTCTGGATCAATAAAGACCGGGAGTCATGTTGTCTTCACCACCATTGGTGT